ACTGATACTGATCGTGCTCTCTGTACAAGCAAGAAGTGGTCTACGCCGCTCTTGTCTCCAGACAAACCCTACCAGTAGATGATGAAATTAAATCACGTTCCGAAACAAAAGCTATAGCTTCAAAGATGCAATGTTTCAAATTTGTTGCATTATTGTTGTTTGGTATAATTTGCTGTATGATATAAACCTCGCTGTTTGTTTTAGCGCAAACTACACAATGTGTTATTTGTGCTTTGACCACCGGGGAAAATCGAACTCCAGATTTTAGCGTTGCAAGTCCGTAAACTCATTGTTGACTAGTCGAGGAGACAAAGTAGTTGTATGACAACGATCTTGAAATCTATCAAGTAAATCCGTAACAGAACAAAGGATTTATATTTATAATAATATCCTTATGCTACATTATGGATGCACTTGCATGTTGTTCAATATATAGATATAAATCTATAAATCAGTTGTATGAAACAATGCAAGTTTGTTCGTTTTTTACACAAATTCTCGTATGCACTACCTCTTCTGTATGATAAGGCATTCACTCCTGAAGAACTCAATTCATGAAGGTATCCAGTGGATTCTGCCAACAATTTGTCATCCTTCTGTGTACATTGTCTTTTTTTTTTGTTGTTGTTGTTCCACATAACACAACTGCGAACAAACTACACCTTGTTTTGTGTTACATAACTGGGCGCAATATCTGCTCTATACTTTATCAAAGCAAAGAAAAAAGTAATCACAAATTCCATATTTTGTATTAAATTGGTACTTTGCAAGGATTGCATAGTAGCTTTAGCAACAGTTTGATGAATTTAAATTTGCTGTCCAGAACAACGTTATTCAAAATTGTTCTTGCATTACTTATGAATTGTTCTTCTAACAGAATTTTAACTAATCCGTGTATTATCAAAACATTTGTAAGTATTTTAATTTTAAAGTTACAACAGAAGTCAAATAGACAACTCTTAAGATGGATCTTTAACTGCCATAGGAAAATATATATCCACTTCTAGAGCACTGCCGTGTAAGCTTGGAATTTTGTGCTACCATTTTAAGAAATTATATTATCCATCAATCTTCACAGTTTCAAGTTCAGATACATAATAAAATATTAAAATATGTTGTTGTTGTATATTTAAAAATAAACTTACCATTAGAATAGTTGTTTATAAACGTAGCACTAAAGACGAAAAGAGCTGCATCCTTAACCGCACGAGTCTTATATGATTTTCAAAACAAGAGGCTTATCAGTTGTTCTATTATCAAACAAAGAAAATATGTTATTGCCAAACAAAACAAAGGTAATTAAAATTGGTATGCCACATTGTCAACGTCTGTTTAAGTATCCGGCTTCTCTATTCAGAAACACAGCAAGGCTTTGGCGATTATACGACAGCCGCTCAGGCAATTATGACCATGAACTAACTTTTGTTATAATCTTACTGAGCCCCGAGATCAATTAGAACTTCCCAGGATGTCATGTCTCACACGTCATTACATTAATCCCATTAAAGAAAAAAAGGAAACCAGAGTTCTCCAACATTCTAATCTTCCATTGTTTTTTGCCAGATTGATACCTCGACCAAAGAAATGTCACGAGGGAAGGCATACAAGTCCGTAGACTGACCCCCTGCTGTGTAAGACAGACTTAACAATAAAATTAGCAGAAGGCAAGCAAACTTTAGAAAAATTTAGTTGTATTTGGAAGATTTACGAGGCCAATAGTAAGCAGTGGAGCCAACATAATAAGCAAGAAGAATGTTTTTTTCTAAAACGAATTAGAAACTTAAATCCAAGAGGTTACCTACACCACTGTAACATATCCAAAATGAGGTTACCTACACCACTGTAACATATCCAAAAAAGGTTAATATATACAAAATGAGGTTACCTAAACCACTGTAACATAACAAAACAAGAGGGCACCTACATCACTGTAACATACCCAAACAAGAGGTTACCTACACCACTGTAACATACCCAAATACAGGAAAAATAATTTACTAAATTAGTAAAGAGTTACAACTATAGTATTTGAATGCTACAAATATGAAATAGTCCAGCATACCCAAACAATTGTGTAACTTTCTGTATTTGACTTCTTCGTTGATTAAAAAATGGTAAACACATATCTGTCCCTAAATTATAACTTACATATTACAGGGTTTAGTTTGTTTTATTTCACATATTTACACAAAGCTATACAAGGGCTATATGCAAGAGCTGTCTCTAACTTTGAAGCTGACAAACTAGAGGAAAGGGAACTATTTAACAGTGTGATTTGGTAGTCACTCTTATACAAAAAAACAACAACATCTGTACCCTTTTATACCTTTTTCTCAAACCCTTTAGCAAGTTCAATGTGAACTAACAGAGTAGTGGGATTTGACCATCACTTTTATACCGCCCCCGCCCCTTAAAAGAGCATTCTGGCGCTAACAAGCCGCAAACTGTGAACCCTCTGACCGACAGTCAAACACACTAACCACTGAACCACGCCCAGCCTTAAAACATGCTAAAAATGCCCAATTTGCTCATCACACATTTTGATATCTACGTAAGGTTACAAGATATATTTTTCACTCTTTCAGCAAATCTAATAATGTAAGAGATTTCTTTTCGGTATGTACATTTTATTGTTAGTACAGAAATTTAAGCTGCACATCATATTTTTTTGTGGTATAATTTGTTTACGAAGGATTCTATTCAGTAGATTTTAAATGTGTTTTAATTAACTTAAAATGTAAAAACAATAAAATCTTTCAATATATTTTACAAGTTTTCTTTAACTCTTTTATGTTTTACTTTAAGGTATAAATTAAATTCTATAGTTACGTAGAAAACAAATATTTAAAGAATAACTACACAGACGACAATAGCAGCAATAAACATTATTATAAATGTCTTTATGGCCAGGATTATAGTTTTAAGTTCATAAAAATTGAGCAAAAAAAAAAAACTTTATACGCACGCCGCATCTATCGAAGTAATACGTATATATATATATAGTAAATTCTTTATCATGTTTCGAGTATCTGTTTACTTTTGACAAAAAGACCTTGCATGTAGGCTCTGATACATGCTCAGGCCATATTGCGCAAAAATACGAGAGCTGGAACATAAAATCAAAAATACACTGCAAAAATAAAAACACTTGTATTTTCAGGTGAAACATATTTCCTCAAATAGTATTAAATAAGTCCGATTTATAATGGGGGTGGTGGGCAGGATATATCAAGAAGTAATATTCAATTTAGCTGAAACTAACCGAGTTTAAGCAAAAATACATATCATTGGACATGATGTGCAACATACAATGAAACATTCCTTATAGAACAGAGACACAAAATACAGCGTGTGTACTTTCTTATGGTTGTTTGACTGGCCTTTCAGTGCGATTCATTAGTTGATTAGACTTGGGTTTTCCCTAAAGATGTATTCCCGCAAACCAATTCACCCAGGATCCGGTACATGAATTTATAAAACTCTCATTCTCATTCAAACATACGAGAGGTCGTAACCTCGAGATATCATCCGCCATACCACTGGAGGACACTGGCTGTCGACATCCTTGCACAACGTGCAACTTTACAGCCACTGTCCCAATTAGCAGAACAGGTGTTACCTCCATAGGGTGGCAAAGGAATAAAGGCGCTAGAACGAAATCAACTTGATGAATTTCTTGACCAAGCGTTATGTGAAAATTACAGTCTTGTAATAAACAAAAAATTCTACATTAAAATGAGAAGGCAGAAAACTCACCGTATGCCTGCATACCACAACACAAGACATGTATCATCCCATTTGGTAAACATTTCTTTATTGGAAGGGTCGTAGTTGACATTAAAAGGAGAAGGCAGAAAACTCGCGGTATGCCTCCATACCACAACACAAGACATGTATCATCCCATTTGGTAAACATTTCTTTATTGGAAGGGTCGTAGTTGACATTAAAAGGAGAAGGCAGAAAACTCACCGTATGCCTGCATACCACAACACAAGACATGGATCATCCCATTTGGTAAACATTTTTTTATTGGAAGGATCGTAGCTGACATTAAAAGGAGAAGGCAGAAAACTCACGGTATGCCTGCATACCACAACACAAGACATGTATCATCCCATTTGGTAAACATTTCTTTATTGGAAGGGTCGTAGTTGACATTAAAAGGAGAAGGCAGAAAACTCACGGTATGCCTGCATACCACAACACAAGACACGTATCATCCCATTTGGCAAACATTGCTTTATTGAAAGGGTCGTCATGAACGACAAATAACTAGGAGTGAAAACTACTTGAAACATCCTCGTGTTTCGATATCCGCGGAGGGCAGAGAACAGAGAGCCAATTGGGTAGCTTTGTGTTTAACAATAAAGAAAATTCTTGAAATTAAAGCCTATAAATATACTGGTGCCGTATTCCTTGTGGGTTTGGTAAAACAAATCAACAAAAATAATACTGAGTATTTTTCAAACTGAGAAACAGTTATTCCTAACAAATTCAGAGTACTGTATAATTAGAATAATACTGCTATTTATCAAGTGCATATGCATGGCTGCATTAACATTTAACTGATAAACAATGCATTAGTTTCACACGACCCAATATTATATGTTATGATAATAGGTGAATTCTACAGTGTGTGTGCTTGGAGTGTACGTGTTGTGAGAAAAACCCCTGGAGACACATAAGCTAATCAAAGTACTGTACAAGTATATATCTCACTTTACTAATCAAACTCATATTTGTTTCTGAAATACAGAAAGTTTGGCACAAGAAAAAACACCTAGAATTTTAACAAATTAAACAAATAAACCATTGCAATTAAACTGCCTACGAATGTAAGTTTTATATGTTACAGAAACTTTTTGACAAACATGAATCAATAATGTCCAATACAGCTTTTTAAACTACGGCTCAAACATTTTTATTGAGTATTTTCGGAGAACATATCTTACAACAGGTGACACTCTTTAAAAAATGAATCAAAACGATCACAAAATACCTGTAAAAGTTTCAAAGGATGTTCTTTAATTGAATAATATCGCTGTAATTCGTGCATGAACAGCGAACATCTATTTTTAAAGGTCCAATGAAAAGTTTTCCTTTTTCTGTGTAGTTGATCAATGACATATTTGCTAGAGAAAAAAATTAAATTACTATCGCTATGTTTTTTGTTTATTCATAACATTTAATGTCACCATTATTAAGTTTATTTTCATATTTGATAAGAAAGTTTTCTTCCTCTATCTATTAAAGTCTTACCTATATACTTCTGGTGTTAGGTTCCAAGAATCCCAGCTCTATCTATTAAAGTCTTACCTATATACTTCTGGTGTTAGGTTCCAAGAATCCCAGCTCTATCTATTAAAGTCTTACCTATATACTTCTGGTGTTAGGTTCCAAGAATTCCAGCTCTATCTATTAAAGTCTTACCTATATACTTCTGGTGTTAAGTGCCAAGAATTCCAGCTCTATTTATTAAAGTCTTACCTATATACTTCTGGAGTTAGGTTCCAAGAATTCCAGCTCTATCTGTTCGAACACACAGGCAAATAACTACTGAAACTTTCTTACAAATTTCGAGAGCACAAGATAAATAACTACGAAATGGCTCGTTTCTTTTTTTTTTATGATCATGTTAAGAAAAATGCGGAATCACATATACAACAATAATATATTTCTTTTTCTACAGCGTACTAACATAAAGAAAACTCTAGTTTCAACAAACCTAAAAAGCACGTGCTCGATCGTATAAGGCTTTTCAGATACTGATTTATAAGATTCATATTAGTGTTACTAGAGATAATACTTGTAATAATACCTTGCCTTTCTTTGAATAACTTCAAGTATATATACGTTACGAAAATCTCCAGACTTTGGTTAATGTCGATAATAATCGGTCGATTCCAACCATCAACTGAACACGCTAATATCGAAATAACTGAAATTGAAGCACTTTCGTGCGTTTACCGACTCTTGTCTAAATTCACCATTAATCCTCGATAAATGCTGAACGAAACTTTTCTTTTATTGTGTATTTAAGAATCAGTGCCAACAAATCGAACACTAATTTTGCGTTTCCACTCTTAGAAACAATCATTTTTCTGATAATATTTATGAAACTACTCTGTAACAACCCGTTTGTATTTGTATTATTTCGTACATTTACGACGGAGTACAGCGTTTATGGACGTTTCCTGTAGGATATGTATATCCATACTGTTATAAACAGATTAAGAATATTTTGTTTCAAATAATTTTTTCATTTGAATATAATTTCCTTCAAAAACATTTATGCGCGATTATAAAATTTTCTATAGCCATTGTAAGGGCCCGGCATGGCCAGATGGTTAGGGCGCTTGACTCGCAATTCGAGGGTCGCGGGATCGAATCCCCGTACCATCAAACATGCTCGCCCTATCAGCCGGGAGGGGGCATTATAACGTGACAGTCAATCCCACTATTCGTTGATAAAAGAGTAGCCCAAGAGTTAGCGGTAGGTGGTAATGACTAGCTGCCTTCCCTCTAGTCTTACACTGCTAAATTAGGGACGGCTAGCGCAAATGGCCCTTGTGTAGCTTTGCGCAAAATTCAACAAACAAACAGCTCTTGTAGGTGCATAGAAAAAGTGGGAAAATTCACATCTAAATGGATTCTTAAAAAACCGTTTAGACAAGTACGAAAAACTCATTCATATTCTGTTTAGATAACAATAAGTTTCATCTGAATATTTTGGATGATTCATAAAATCACTTTTATTACGTTGTAGAGAAACATCAGTTATTGATGATATAAGTATTTACTTAATAATATTGAATTTGATTTCCTATATGTTTGAAGACTTAACTCGCTCACAAGTAATAATAATCCTAGCAGTAAAACAATACACTCGAGAATATTTTGTAGTGAATTTTCCATTGTACTAAATTTATATAAAATTAAAACTAAATAAGTATCACATGCCGCAGTTCGTTAGTTCACAACCCAATAAATAGGTAGTTATTTAAATACAAGAAAAATTACCCGTCCCCAGTGACGGGAAACATTTATTCACGCCTGCAGCTTTTCACACGCAGCGAGAAGCGGCCACCGAAAATTGGAGGCAGACGAACGCACGGACAGACACCACGGTTCGCTATTTGTTTTTTTTAATTATGCACAAAGCTACATATGGGCTATCTGTGCTCTGCCCACCACAGGTACCGAAACCCGGTTTCTAGCGTTGTAAGTCCGCAGACATACCGCTGTGCCACTGAGGGTCACCACGGTTCGCAAGATATTATTTGATATATTACAATCTAAAATAAAATCGTTAGACATGACCAAAATGAAAAATGAATAGTTAAACAATAACAAAACAAAGTAACGAATAGCTAAACGAAAGGAAAGAAAGCTACATTTCAAAATGAATCGTCCTCTTTTGTTTAAATACTAGATGAAAGTAAGACATTGGCAAAGAGTCTGAAAATTCCACTCTTAGCTTGTAGGTAAAATCACAAGAAGCTGCATCATTAACAACGTTTTAATTTCACTTTAATATAAAAAAATTGGCATGCAGATAAATGCACAAAACTATATTACATAAGGATGGATGAGAAGACAAAGAAACAAACAGTCGTATAACATCAAAATAACTGCACAGATCTGAAGATAAGTTTATATAAATATGGACGCTGAGACGAACAATGTTTATGTAGTCGCGCAAACTGACACGTACATAAACAGTTACACAAACAAGTACTCTGAGCGAATGGCAGACACGAATTAAAAGAGCCAGATAAAAATATCGGCTGAACGTTCAGTTAAGAGACAGAAATACAATAAAGTCCTTTGACATATAATGTGTACTTTATGCCTCCACGCCGTCTTCTTGAACAAGTTTAATAACATCTACGTGACACAAGCTTCACTATCCTGATACAGTGTTTTGCCAAGAGTTAAGTTGTCAACACCACACAGATATTAATCCCAACTGATGTCTAGTGCAATACCAGCAAGTCTTAATGCTGGAGATAAGCTTTTTTGTTATTTGCAGACACACGAGTGTTCTCGTCCAGGAATGTAGTTCTGGTATTTTTCTATCACGCCTGATAAAATAGGCTTTACATTTATCTTACATGCTGCTAGCAATAATATTAATTTTATCCTGAACGTTGGTTAAAAGTTAGTTGACTTATCATTTATCTTAACTCCTAATACTTTAATTATTCTTTATCACAATTAGAAAAGTAGTCTTAACAATATTCTGGCTTTTAAGATTAAACATAACTTAAACCCTGAATCAAAATCTTACTTATATAACTCTTGTTGCTGACAGGTTAGAGGGAAGGCAGCTATTCAACAGCACCCACCGCAAACGCTTGGACTACTACTGCCAGATCGAATAGTGGGATTTGGCCATTTATTTTATAGCCAATCCATTGCCCCAAAGTGCAGAGCCCGTTTTTCTCAGTATCGGGAGTTGAAACATGAAACCTCAACTTCACAGTCAGGGCACACTTACTAACTGAACACAGCCGGCCTAGTATTTTGTATAATACTGTAGTGTTATACTTCAGATATCACTTTCAGGATATTTCAATGAGACAAATGTTATTTGATATGAAAGTTTAAAATTACTAAATTTTTTTGCCAATTAGCCTTATTAAACTACTGTAGTGTACAGCAAAATCCCCGTGCAGTGCCGTCCACAGAAGTTTTTAGTCGGGCCCTCTTCTTCCGAGCTCAGCACAGTAAATGTATTAGTAATACCATAGTGGAGCAGTTTTTCCTTTTTCTCTACAAAGCAAAGAGCTTAAGAAAGAAAAGAAGTCCATATTTTTGTGATAGTGAAATTTATTTCAGGGTATATATTATATACTTTGTGTTCAAAGGTGGCATTATACCTGTCCAATATCAGTACATTATGACATCTTTTCACACATATATACCAACATAACTTACATTATAGCTGTCATGGTAAAGTAAAAGCTTATCTATCTATACTACTCATACACTATTTTGACATATGAACTTGCGCTGCAATACACTATACAATTATTGGAAATTGGTTGAAATAGTTTTACAGTCTCTGTCTGTGTGTAATCAAAGTGGTTTAAATATATCTGTTCAAGCCACAACACACATGGTGATACAACAAACCAACCATAAAGACTAAGGAGCTTTCCAAACAAGTAAGAGGTAAAGTGGTAGAGAAGCACAGATCAGGAGAAGGTTACAAGAAAATTTCAAAGTCGCTGATTATCCTTTTGAGTACGGTGAAGTTTATCATTAAGAAGTGGAATGTGCTTCATACTACCCAGATCAAGCAGCTCTTCCAAACTAAACAGACGGGCAAGCAGAAAACTGGTTAGGGATTCCACTTTGAAGACAACAGTGACTTTGCTCCATGTCTGAGATGGGGGGAGTCAAAGCTCATACATCGACATCACGGGCCCTACACAAAGCTGGCCTATAAGGGTGAGTGACTAAAAAGAAACCATTACTGAAAAAAATCATCTTAAATCTCGTATGGTGTTTGCAACAAAGCATGTAAATAATAATGTAGACATGTTGCAGAAGGTTGTGGTCAGACGAGACAAAAATTGAACTTTTTGGTCTAAATTCAAAGCGTTAAGTCTGGCGCAAGCCCAACACAGCACATCACTCAGTCAACATTACACCATCTTAAGTGTCAAGTATAGTGGCAGCAGTATGTTTTGGGTATGATTCTCATCAGCAGGAACTGGGAAGCTTGTCAGGATTGAGGGGGAAGATGGATGGTGCAAAGTACAGGCGAATCCTAGTGGAAAACCTGATTGAGTCAGCCAACAATATAAAACTGGTTCGAAATTTCACATTTCAGCAGGACAATGACCCGAAGCACAAGGCCAAAGCCACACTGGAGTGGTTTGAAAAGAAGAAAGTGAATATGCTGGAGTGGCCCAATAAAAGTTCTGACTTGAATCCAATGGAAAATGTATGACGAGATTTGAAGATTACAGTCCATCAAGGATCCCCAACAAACTTGTCAGAATTGGAGAAATTTTGCCAGAAAGAATGGGCAAAAATTACACCGTTTCATTGTGCAAAGCTGGTAGAGACCTATCCAAAAAGACTCACGGCAGTAATTGCTGCCTAAGGTGCTTCCACCAAG